GATAACTGAATTTTGTGTAGGTTGCGTGATTGCGCGATTTAACTGTTAGCTCTTAGCCAATCAAATTGCTTTTACCAACTACAATGTATAATAATAATTTTTATTATACTTATACAACACGGCAAAAATAGTCGAAAGATTATTGCTTTTAACTACATAACAATGACTTTCCGAAATATGTACTATGTTGTTCTGGATTTTGCGAGCTTTGATTTACTGTAAAATTTAACCTGAATTGCTTCGTAAAATGTTGTGAAATGTTCTTTTTAATAACTGAACTGCTTTTGCCGATAAACTGTTTTTACTTCAACCTGTTGAATAATTTCATTTAGGTCTTCAAATTAATTTGCTCTCCTTTACATTTACCTTTTTTTCTTAAATTAAACAGGGTAACTTAGGAAACTTACAGCTTCTTTGAAAAGGAAAACAGCAGTGCATGTTTTACGCAATAAATTATTAAAGCAAAAAAATTCATAATCATAAACATTAAACATTCAAAGCGAACTTGCCCTATATTTCACGACTTTCCATAGTAAATCAATTCTTCTCATTTTCCAAACAAAAATTGCTTCAAAGCTCATTGTGTGAAACGTGATTTTCCAAATATATGCTTTTGAAAATTGAAATCTTGCTTTAATATATTCAGTGTGCTAATCCCACTCTTGGCAAACAGCCATATTTTTGAGATCAGTGAGGAGGTCCACCCCATAGATCTGCCTCCTCCGCAGGCCCTCGTTGCGTCATGGGAAGGTCACGATCTGGCGAGGGCCTGCGGAATCTTGTAAAAAAAATGGCGCCGGCGTCACGTCAGCAAGTAAATTTCTACATAATCTTGAATATAAACAGATATAAAAAAGCGGCGTGAAACTTGTAAATTAAACTGGCGACTCTTAGGACGTGGAAGGAAGCATTTTTAACGATAAGGTTTGTTGTCCACACCAACGTTGCACGAATAAAACTGCCTTCTTTAACGAAGCAGGTTCAAAACAACATTTATTCATTTTACAAGATTCCGCAGGCCCTCTCGAAATCGTGACCTTCCCATGACACAACGAGGGCCTGCGGAGGAGGCAGCCCATAGATATAGGAGATCTAGATTGCTAACGCATACCTAGCGCAGGCGGGGCCTACATGATAAATCCAAGATGGCGGTACAAGAGGGCAAAAAGACTATAGATTCTATTACGAAAATCAATATTTTTGCATTTTTTGCCGTCGCATTGTTTTGAAACTTATTCGGTCAAATTGTATGGTAAAGAGAAACTTACCGCGAAGATTTTGAGCATATTTATGATTGAATTGGATGAAAACTCGCAAAATTATCCAGCGATAAAAGTTCGTGTATAGTACTGATATAGTACTATATATGTAACTTGTACAGTTTTGCTTTAATTTTTGCTCACTATTTGCATAGAAAGCAAATTATAACAGACCATAGATGATAGACCCTTATCCAGTGCTCTCATCAGTTTACTTCTCTAACAAGCAAGGAGGGGGTGGGGGTACATAACAGTTCATTTTTCATAATTATGAGGACAGAGCAGATGATGATGAAAGATGCAAGTATAAAACACCATTCACAAGACTAGATGTTAACATAGCACAGTATTTCTGGCAATAAAACGTTCCAACTGACCAACTGACCATTTCACACGAACTTTTATCGCTGGATAATTTTGCGAGTTTTCATCCAATTCAATCATATATATGCTCTAAATCTTCGCGGTACGTTTCTCTTTACCATAAAATTTGACCGAATAAGTTTCAAAACAATGCGACGGCAAAAAATGCAAAAATCTTGATTTTCGTAATAGAATCTATAGTCTTTTTGCCCTCTTGTACCGCCATCTTGGATTTATCATGTAGGCCCCGCCTGCGCTAGGTATGCGTTAGCAATCTAGATATCCTATATCTATGGTCCACCCTTGGATCATAGCCATGCGCCCACGGTATTTGATGAACTTTAGACTTCGCTCAGAGGACTTCGCTAGTGCGTTCCTTTCCCCGGGTGTAAATAGCCGGGGGGAATTAGTACCCTCGCCCCGGGCTAACGCCTGGAACGGCGCTCCGCGCCGCATATATATGTTTGGGGAATTGAAAATTTTGTAATTAAAAGTGATAGTTTTAGGGGATTTTTCATTTGTAAAAATATTCTTAACAAATTTATCGTGTTACCATGACAACTACTTTAAATACGTCATGTTCGGAAAATACAATGGTTTTGTCAGCAAGGCGAGGGGTTTCTGCATGTATGTATTTTCTAGTATGGATATACTATGGATTTAGTGGTGCAATCGTATTCGCATTAAGCAAATATTTAATATAATATGCATATAATTTACTTTAAAGGCGTCCCATGCAGTCATTGTGTATCTATATTATTTTGCAGTAATATAGTTTAATTTTCAGTATAATTTCAAAAACTGGGAGACATAACATGCATGATAGCTAGAGCTTAGTTTTTAGACGTTCCATGCAGACTAGCATGACGACTCGTGACTGATGTATATTAGTATTTTGTACAATTCCTATAGGCATTTATACTTTCTCGATATTTTGCCGTTTACCCTTAATATTCAATCCTCGTTCCACTCCATTTCAATTTCGAGCCTCGATATTCGACATCTTTAAAAAATGCAAACGAATCATGTATTATATGACACTCGACACCTCCGCAGGTGTAGCGTAAATGAACCGGCAAGTTTAAGGAAAGAGCTGCACTATTTCCAAACAGAGCTTTTCGAGAGCTTTAATTACGGTCAAGTACATCGTTGTTAAACTCTCAAATCAAACGTTGCCGAAAGCCTTAGTAGACCGTGTCAGGAAAACAGTCTGTGTAGTAAGGTAAAACAATTTTAAAACAACAAATACACAACAATTTTGACAAACTTCATCATTTCTAAAAGGTAAAATTGAAGAATTGCTTCACAGCTCATTGTATGAAATGGCTTTTACTATTTTTTTAAAATCTTGTTGAGATCGGTGAGATGACCACCGACGCACGATGAACCGGCATAGCCACGCGCCGCAATCATTGATAAACTTTTCCATCAGTCCACTAGCTTTGCCGGAAATAAATAGCCGAGCGGAATTCGTACCCTCGGTCCGCGCGTTTTCTCGGGGAATATGCAAGATTGAATATTAATAAATTATTTGACATGACATATAACACGTTAAAGCATACCATATAATCCGTTTCAGTAAATATATATAATCCAAACGTAATCCGGCGTAGAACAATATTCGTAAACGATATTCCAGTCGAATTTGTAGAACTAATCTATTAAAATATGACTACATGCAGTGACGATAAGAAAAGCGGGCGTATGCATGCGTGTTTCTTCACGCTGGCTATCAAATGAAATATTTGATAATTTGTGCATTTCCTCCAGCGAGCTACAAACTCGATATTAATGGACACAAACGGTGCTCGCCAACAGACCTTTAATAAATAGAATCGAACGAAATAAACGTGAAAAAAAAGCGACAGAGCGAGTAAAATTTAGCCGTGTTTTACTTTAAATCTCAGACAGAAGTTAGACAAGGACGTTATTGTTTAATTACTATAATAGTGTAGCAAATGCCGACAATGCATGATGCATTGTCGGCATATAATGCTTGGTATTTAAAAATCGTTGTGCGGACAAGCCTTCAACAATACATGCTCTACGGGTATAAGATCCCGATCAGTGTTGTAACGTTAATGGAAATGATCGGCAAATTTACAGTTAAACTTTCGTCCAATACATTGAATACATTAGCATATAAAAATTATATGTCAATCAACCTTAAATTCAGTCAATCACAATTCTCGATCGCTGACGGCCGAGACAGTCATCATAATTACTCATGGCTGCTAAAATTAAACGGGCTTCGCGGCAGACTCTTCTCCAATTTTACTTCACCTCATTCCCCTAGAGGAGCCGGCCGGCGCCGCGCTGCAAGCCATACATTCATAAGGAATTTTCTTTTAAATTAAGTTTAAAATGATGTATGCTTGAAGAGGCAATTTATATTCATTAACAGAATTCTTATATTATTTCAAAATTGTTCAGCCATGCAGCCTATTCAATTCCGTGATTTTGCTGATATGAACTTAGTTAATAAGCAAAAAATTAATATTGCTCGAATTAAATTTCAAGCTGTGTGTAATTTTTTTCATTTTAGGTTTGAGTCAGAGATAACAAATTAAACAAGGCAGGCCTTATCAGAGTGAACGTAATTCACTAACATATGAACAGTCAAGAAGCTCACAAGGAAGAGTAACAATAATGAGCAATAATAGTACACAGTATCCGAGTTCTCCTTCCGAGCAATTGCAATGGTATTTTTTTGGTGTTATTGTAATCTTAGTAATTGCATGTATAGTTTGCAACAGTATTATTGTCGCCGTTTTTATTGTCGAGAAGTCAATACGAAACAACGCGAACATGTTCGTCGTAAGTCTTGCATGTGCAGATCTTGTGGTTGGAATGATATCAATGCCGTTATGGATAGCAGGCTCAAGTCCTAACCTGGAGCTACACTATTATCACAATAGTGTCGACATCTTGTGCTGTTCCGCATCGATCTTTAACTGTGCCCTTCTGAGCATAGAAAGAGCATTGAAAATCATTTTTCCTTATTGGTATACAAATAACGTGACTGCCTTCAGGTTAAAAGTCGTCATCCTACTCGGGTGGATTGCAGCTGTCTTAGTTGGAAGTCTGTCTTTATTAAGAGGAACAGATCCGAACAATCTCCCTTTCATCATCTTTATATCCATCTTCATTTATATTCTGCCTGTCTTAGCCATCATTACTTCTTATATGAGTATATTCGTTGTTGCACACAAGCATGCAAAGAGTATTCGCAAGCAAGAGCGTCGAATTGACGGCGATACGACAAGCATCAGAATGTCAGAGGCTAAAACTGCCTGGCGTCTCAGTGTTTTCATTATCGTGTTTATAATATGTTGGACTCCATTTTTTGTCAAAATATGGGGGCGTCTGTTTTTAAAAAACGGTCCGCCTGTTCATTTCTATGTGGTGGCAAACACATTGCCGAACATTAATGCGGTAATAAATCCATTTTTGTACGCTCTTTTCAATCCAACGTTCAGAAGAAGAATGGTTATGTTTTACAAGAAGAAGAAAGGAACCCGCCAGAAAATGGAATCCATTCGAAGAAACGAAATTTCGACTGCTCTGACAAATCTTAATAACAGTCCATCCATGAGCAGAGCTGTATCAACGCAGTTTTCTCCACAAACAGAGCGACGTGAACTGCATTCTGTAGACTTGGGGAAAGAACACCTAGACGCGTTTAAAAAGCTGCTCACTCCACCACATACTGAGCACGGACACACTAGTAATGAAGAGATGTATAGTCCAAACGAAACAAGCTTGTAAAATAACACATGCAGTTAGTTACTGAGTCAAAAGTTAAAGTCAAAGATGGAGGATATTCAGTGGTTTTAGTTTCCCTCCCGTATAAGGTTTTACAAAATACCAAAATACCGTACCAAACAGGCAAAAGATTAGCACCGCTGGAAAAACGGCCGCAAAATACAATAGTCAATATAATTAGAACACTACGCAAAACGTAACTCGTAAGCAATTAAATATTCAGTAGTTATGCAAGAATTTCAGAATATATACACTAAAGATTATATTCTATTAATTTGTCGTCAAAAGACTATTTTATTGAACAACCATGCAAGCCGTGATCCAAAGGTCTATTTGACTCACATATATTTAATATCTTTTTTGGCATCAATGATTTCTAAGTTGAAATAATTTTAATAAATTGATTTGCTGCCGTTGGAAAGATTGAGCGAAATAATTTTTTAATTGTATCCTGAGAATTAAAGCTGAGAATCAATGGACAATGAGCTCGTTAAATTTCCTGCTCGTCTGAATTTTACGCTTTAAATGTTAGGAGAGGCATGCATAACTAATGTCTATTCTGCCCGTGTCTGCTGTATCTTTTTGTTTGTTTTACTAATCTTGGACTATAAAATAGACATTGTTTTGCGAGGGTCCTGAAGGGGTAAAATGGGAACTGGGATTGATCTATTTTTAGACTGGGAAAATGGGATTTGGGTTGCTGGGACTGGGATTTGGCCACTGGGAAATTAAGTTCTCAAAAATGGGATTGAAGTATGTAATGCGAGTCGATTCCCAATTTTTCCACGTTTTAAGTATTTTAAAATACAATTTTGATCCGTTTTTGGTGTCTTTGGTCATGATTTTTGTTGTTAACTATATTATTCACAGCACTACCTGCGAACAGGCATACTCTGGCGCCCGGAATTCTGGGTTTTCTGATTATGCGTGTCCCCAAGTCAGATGCACAGCGGAATATATGCATATATCTCAAAGGCAAAGGACAACCGCTTCTGCCACACGGTGCGCCCTGCGCACACACGGAAAAAATATTAATGCCGTTTCATGCAGAGTACAAATTTTCTTGGACGATCGTATATCCCCAAACCCTGTAGATTGAACAGACACTGTACCTTATGATGATAAAGATTTATCTGTACCTTATGATAAAGATTTATGCATAAATCTTAATGTTACCGTATAGTATGATATCCGGTCGTCCATAGGCCGTCTAATTAAGCCCAATTAGTAGTCTTATATTTTTGCATACATGATGGTGGAAATTTTTCAGTATTCGTTTCTGAATTTATCAAGTACCAAATATATATATGCAGCCAAGTCAATCCTTTTCGTGCAAAAAATCAAGAAAAATAGGAAAACCAATGTATTCATGAATGAAATCAGAGTTCAAGCGCTTGACAAGCGCTATATATTGTAGAACTATACATTGTACTTTAATCTCGGCAATAATATCATCATCAATTAACACACGGAAATATTCGTCCCGCTTGCATGTCAGAGTTGCAGTAAAAGAAAACATGCCCCTTGTTTGTGAAAGGTGAAACACAACCTACTGTATACTAAATATTAACGGTTGACAATAGACTTAAAAATTCGACGCCTACATAACAGGGTAAAACATATAGCTTACATTTGAAATGTTTGGGTCTTTCCAGACGAAAGCGGCGAATGTATAAAAGGCGGAGTGGTATACGAACGCAAATTTTGAGATATTTTTTAACTTTAATCAGTACTCATGAGCCCCAAACCTAACCCTGACTCCAACACTAACTAGTAACTACTTCGGTTCTCGTGTTATTCCGCCTTTTATATCCACCGAGACGAAAAGCCTTCGCATGAAACGTCGACGTTTCTAATATTTTAGGTAGTTTGATCGTGTAAAGGCCTATTTACACGATTCGACTAGTTCGACTAGTCGTATACGATTGTCACTCTGGCGCATGAAAATGACTGCTAACGCCACTTAGCCACTTATTCCTTGTTCATCAGTTTATGGTGAAATGTTGATAACTTCACATGCATTTATTCGAGTACATATTACGGCAGGATAAGAATCGCGTATACCGTATACGACTAATCGTATTCTTTCTTTCTTTCTTTCTTTCTTTCTTTTTTTCTTTTTTTTATGCTAAGAACTAATGACGTAAAAATTTAAACTGAGAACATTAGATTGATTAACAAATAAAATTATGTTCTCGCCTAATATATGTTGGCAAATTATTATACAATGTTTTTGATGTTACTCTGAGTGTATATCCACACCGGGCAAGCTGAAAAGTTAGCCTGACCACGGTGGGAATCGAACCCACGACCTTTGGGATACTAGACCAATGCTCTGCCAACTGAGCTACGAGGCCAAGTCTGTTCGAGTGTGTGCATGTATTTCGGAACTATGATCATGATATTTTTGTGTGTGTTTTGATGTTATGTACTCAGGTGAATATTCGTGGTCAGGCTAACTTTTCAGCCTGTCTGGTGTGGATATACACTCAGAGTAAAATCAAAAACATATTCACCTGAGTCATACATAACATCAAAGCACACACAAAAAATTATTATACAGTTTTGCCCCACTATAATAAAATGACTGTTTCGCAAACGCCAGCTTTACTATTGGAAGTTTCAACATACTAATTTTTGTTTCTTGTGTTTACTCACAGTGGTTTACTTCATGTGTATTGATCAGAAAGTACTCGCAAGCGCCAAGTTGGTAGATCTACCGATTCTACCGGAATCCAAATTTATGGCCCTCATTTCTAATGCCCCTCATTTCCAAGCTTATTTGGCACTGTCCACTTCTATGTTATAAATGAACGTTTTTCCTTGTCAAATTTTAATTCTCATCTTATATCCTCAGTACTTGTTTCATTATATTCCTTACATTTTGTTTTTATAATATATTCTATGTGATTTACATTTTTTGTTTACACTTTGTTTCTATACCAAATCCATACCAAATCCATCTGATTGTTTTTTTGTCACGTCATAGGTTTTTTATTCACTAGCATAAATTATGAAAGAAACATGTATTTTTCCGATCCATGCTACTATATAACTTCCTGACGAAGAGCGTTCGCTCGAAACGTCAAGTTTTACTTGTATTTTCCAGATAGTTCAATCCCTCTCAATCCGCAGTTTTCTGGGGGCAATTCGTCTATACTCCATATGAATTACGTTTCAATCTTTTCATCTCTGATAAGACAATGATAATTATACAGTGCTGCAGTGTATCTTGTCATATACAGACTACAGTGCATCTTACTGAACTAGACAGCTGCTCCGTACAGTCAGGGGCGTAGGAAGCGGGGGGGGGGCACGGGGGGCACGTGCCCCCCCAAATTTTTTTAAAGGACTAAAAGTGCCCTTTTTTGTGATAAAAAGTGCCCTTTTTGTGTTGAAAAGTGCCCTTTTTTGTGAGGAAAAGTGCCCCTTTTGTAGAAGCTAATGTCGCTGTAAATACTAAATTAAACTGAATAGGTGCCGTTTTTGTGTGGAAATTTACAAATTTTTTTTAAAAATTAGGTCACAAACATAAATTTCGGTATGATACGACGGAAAATTTTCCTCAGGAGAAATTTCTCCCCCCCCCCTGTTGACAACATTTCCGGGAAAAATTTTTTAGGTGCCCTTTCCGATAGTAATGTGCCCCTACAAGCCGGTGCCCCCCCAAACTCCAGGTGCTTCCTACGCCCCTGCGTACAGTTATATTTCTCGGACATTGCCACACAAATTCTGCCAAAAATATTGACGTTTAATTTCTTTCTTGCACGTACAGCATTGGCGAAATTCAAAATGAAGGTGTAATATAATATATACCTGAACCAAATGCAATAAATGCAATTTTGTTATTACAAAATTTATGTTTAACAATATATAAATTATAGTTAATGAGACCAGTGGCGAAGCCAGATAATAATAATAATAGTCTTTATTAATCAATACTCGGAACACACGTCCGAGTTTACATGTCCGAGTTTACATGTCCTGCTTGTCCTGCTGAGCAGTGAGCACGACATACAAAATTTCAGATAATGAATTTTTTGCGCATATAATATATAAAAGAAAACACTTTTATCCAGCTTGACATATGTTCTTACATTTTTCTAACTTCAGCACGTTGCGCAGAAATTTTTAAACAGAGAAATTCATTATGTAAGTTAACGTTATTTAACTTATTTTGAATGAGCATCGACCGAAGTTTAGTCCTGCTCAACTCAGGCGAGCAGGACAAAGCTAAAGTTCTAACGCATTTCATTGGCTAAAACAGCTCTCAAGAATGCAAAACACGCAAAAATATGCCTTTTACTCCTGCTCGAGCTTCGACGCATGATAAACCTTCGAATATTCTCTGAATTATTCATCTCCCGGCAGGGCATTTTACCCCCCCCATATATATATATATATATATATATATATATATATATATATATATATATATATATATATATATATATATATATATATATATATATATATACATACATATAATCAAATATCTGTAATCGATATTTTGGTAACAACATTTCTCGTAATAATGCATCCTGACTCTCGGATAGCATAGACTCACAAATCATAATGAACGAATTAATGAAAGGGCCTAATAAAAGAGATAGAGAACAGTGGCGTGCTGGCAGGGGGGCCGGGGGGCCACGCCCCCCCCAGCTGTCAAGTTTTCCACTTCGCCCTTCCTTCCTACTTATCTAATGCCCTGGAACGGGTTCAGAAGCGTGTTTTATCAATCATCTATCCACTGACAGGTTATGCGGATTGTTTACAAAAATCGGGCATCAAACCATTAAGTGACAGGCGTGTGGATGCATGCGAGAAACTGTTTAATGAAATCACCACAACACCAGTAGCTAATATGCATAATCATGTACCATCTAGATACTTTCCAAATTACGACCTTAGACACTCAAGGTCTTTTGTTGTTCCTCAGACCAAAACGAACAGATTTAGAAACAGTTTTTCCCTTCATCTGCAAGGCATATCAATAATATTAACTGACAATCGATTCTGATATTCAGTTTTAGACTGGCTAACATTTTTTTAGAAATTTACTAGTTTCATAGCTAATTTGTAATGTAACTTTAAACTTCTGTAATATAGAATTATAAATTGTAATGTAATTTTAAACTTCTGTAAATATAGAATAACTAATTTAATCATTTCTCTTGTAAAATTTAGCACGCAATTCAGCCTCTTGGCTGCTATGTGTTAATCTTATTAAACAAACAATCTATCTATCTATCTATCTATCTAGTTGGCAATTCTTGGGGGACGCAAAAATGAAAAGAGGGCGCCGAATTTCGAAAGTGGGTGGGAAAAAACGCATTCGAAAAAATATAGTTATTTCCGCCAAGAAAAGATGTGTTTATATGCTTATAAACAGACTAAGCGCATAGGCGACAAAGTCATACATTAAATTACAGACTATTTTGTCTAACCGTATTTGCTAATTTGCTAATTTGCTACCTCACAGCTCACACGAAATCGTTCATATAGAAACATGATCAGTGATCACACGCAATGTCTCATTACCGGAATATTGGTCAGGTTTGGGAGCGATCACGGGAATTATGCCCTTTTTTGCTGGTATTATGCCTTTATATTATATATATGCCCTTTATTATGCTTCACAAGTCACGAGAGCGGCGCAAATTAGATAGTTGAAGTTATGATAACTGATGTAAAGTTGTGTACGCAATTTAGTTGTTTGCGCAAGAAACATCATGACAACCTCGTCCCCAGGGCCTTTTAAGGAAGGAGGCGAAGGGCATCGCCTCCTTCCTCAATAGGCCCTGGGGACGAGGTTGACATCATGAGTAATGTAAGTGATGAAATAATGCTGAAACACGCCCTTTTGGCAGCCAGGCAAGGAAACCTTAAAATGCATATGCGTGGGGTGTGTGTGTTGTTGTATAAAAGAGCTGTAAGTTGTAAATGTGTTCAGAACAGTAGATCAGTAGAGAACAGAATTGGGATTAGATTAATCGCTGGAAGTAGTTAGCATTGCATAATTTAAGTACTACTACTAAATTCTAACCAAATTGCAAATTTCGACACGTTATAATCCGTGTCCTGACCATCAGATTTCTGTCAAATCTTCCCCAAAAAAGTCCAGGCGCTCGGCTCGTGCCTTCGGCCCTCGTTTATCAAGCGTAACATTATAGGGGCGCATATTAGTACCCAGCACGCCACTGGTAGAGAAGATTTTGAAAATGCCATTTCCGACGATTTAGAGACGCAAAATAGGGGGGTCCGGGGGCATACCCCCTGGAAAATTTTTGAATTTAGAGTCTCTGAAATGCCATTTCCTGGACTTTGGGGGAAGATTTGACAGAAATCTGATGGTCAGGAAACGGATTATAACGTGTCGAAATTTGCAATTTGGTTAGAATTTAGTAGTAGTACTTAAATTATGCAATGCTAACTACTTCCAGCGATTAATCTAATCCCAATTCTGTTCTCTACTGATCTACTGTTCTGAACACATTTACAACTTACAGCTCTTTTATACAACAACACCCCCCCCAAAAAAAAAACACACGCATATGCATTTTAAGGTTTCCTTGCCTGGCTGCCAAAAGGGCGTGTTTCAGCATTATTTCATTTCTTACATTACTCATGATGTTTCTTGCGCAAACAACTAAATTGCGTACACAACTTTACCTCAGTTATCATAACTTCAACTATCTAATTTGCGCCGCTCTCGTGACTTGTGAAGCATAATAAAGGGCATATATATAATACAAAGGCACAATACCAACAAAAAAGGGCATAATTTCCGTGATCGCTTCCAAACCTGACCAATATTCCGGTAATGAGACATTGTGTGTGATCACTGATCATGTTTCTATATGAACGATTTCGTGTGAGCTGTGAGGTAGCAAATTAGCAAATTAGCAAATACGGTTAGACAAAATAGTCTGTAATTTAATGTATGACTTTGTCGCCTATGCGCTTAGTCTGTTTATAAGCATATAAACACATCTTTTCTTGGCGGAAATAATTATATTTTTTCGAATGCGT